AAAACTGAAAATATTTAACTGTAGAGTCATTCTAGTGTGGTATAAAACTTAAGAACAATGTTTCAAACTATTCTACAAATAAAAATGTGCATGCACTTAGGTCCAATTACCTTATACACAAGCTGTCCCTCTGGCCGGTAGTATTTTCAAGATCCTACCAGCCAGAGGGACAAGATCACTGAAAACTGAAAAGATTCAACTGTAGAGTGATTCTAGCCTAGTATAAAACTTAAGAGCAATGTTTCAAACTATTGTGCAGATAAAAGTGTGCATGAACTTAAGTCCAATTATCTTGTACACAAACCAGGCCAGGCTGATAGAAGGCTGACTCGTAACCCATATTGAAATAATTGCTCTTGACTCAGTCGCTTTAATTTCAGACGCTTTTAGACTCATTCATATTCTCTCTGACTTTCAATTCAACTGAGGTAGCGGGCTCATGATAAGTACGGCGTCTGATCAAGGAATATTAAAACTACCACCTAACCTGTTTTTGCTGTCTTATTTTCAGACAATGACACTAACCAGGTAAACAAGCTTGATTTTCGAATCTAGGAATATTTCGTCTCTTTTATGTTGAAGGTAGTCGGTTGTAAGGATTTCAGAAGTGCCTCAGATTAGCCCTGATCGTGAGCTCGAAGCAAACAGCGATGGCATTTTTAAGAAATGATTCTGACTGTGACGATGTTACTTTTGTGGAATTTAAGGATGATTTTAAAGACCTCATTGGCCAACAAACACGACAAAACACGGAAGAGACTTATAACGCTGAAATTATTAGCAAGGATTGTACAGCACTCATGAAACATGAAACAACCGCTAATGTGGACATCAAAATACAGGGAACTGAAATTTGTATTGATGTTTCAAGATGTTCTGTGGCTCAGTTTGGCTCTGATACCAAAGCATTGGAAGTACAGAGCTGCAAATTGTGTAGCAGGGATTGTTACAGCTCGTCAGATGAAGAAAGTATGGCAGTCGCGTTGAAGATTCCAGAGATGCAAGCAAATAGCTGCGCCAATGTTAAGGTGCTGATTTATTCTCCAATGCCAGTTATTCAGAAACGTGGCTGCATGAGCACTTCCTGGTACTTCAAAATTATCGCAAAACTGAGAGAAAAACAAAATACCGGAGACTTTGATGGACATGAACATCTGGTTGAAAAACTTATTGTGAAATCACGGTCGGCGGCAGATTCTGACATGGAAATGAGTCTACAGGTTGAGAGAGCAATGGTGCTATATTATCAGAACAAAATTAAAGATGCCAAGAAAATTTTAAAATTTGTGGTAAAACAAGGGAAAAAACTGATAAACCCAGGCATTCTAGTAGGGCGAGCCTTAAATCTTCTGACGGCGGTGTACAAACGTCAAGGGAAATTTGGTAAGGCAATGGAATGTGTGGAAAGAGCGCGCGCTTGTCTTGAAGGTCAGGACTCGGCGAATGATAAAGCAGAGCTACATCACAGTTATGGCGCCTTAATTATGGCTATGCCGGCTGCGAAGAAGCCCGAAACTGTCCGAACCACGAAGGAAGAAGCTTATAAATCTTTACAAATGGCAGATCACTATGAATTTCAAAAGTATCATCACATCAAAATGGCAGCTTTGCTTTTTGAATCGCCCTTTGGCGGGGAAACAACCGTAGATTTCCCCTGCAAAGAGGATATTACGAATGCACAGAAACACCTCGACCTCGTTGAATCGACAATAGCTGACAACGAATCGTTAGGATCAGAAATACCATTTCTTCTTTTACGATCTGATCTGTACCTTTTCGAAGGTAACGTTCCCATGGCAATGGAGAAAGTTCAAGAGGCGATCGCCCTCATTGACAAACATGGATTCGAGCTTGAATTTGCTTCTGCCAAAAGCCGCATTGACCGCCTGTCTTCGATGATATGGCAAGAAAACGAGGAGTGGCGAGAGACGGAGTTAAGCTCCAGCTCGAGTTTAAGTGACAGTCTAGCATGATCTTGCTGAAAGCGGGAGCGCACATTCCGATTAGTTTGGCAAATAAAGATGTACTGGATCAATCGATCGCAATTATTTCCGTTTTACAGATTAATTAGCCAAATCACTGAAATGAAGCTTGCTCAGGTTGAAAGCTATACTACTCCGGATCCAGTCCATCATTCACACAGCCAATCAGTGTGTGTAGTCCAACATGATTTTAAATACTTAACTTCTTCTCGGCAGCTCTGTTCACCAAACGCCAAGGCGGAGCGCCTTATTGAACATTTGAAGACTTCTTCACTGAGGGATAATTAAAACGATATCATAATAAAAAAAGCTAAAGTACGTTTCACTCAGCTTTTAAAGAGACAAAATGAAACTGACCTTCACTTATAGCGCAACTTTTGAGTTTAACTTTCCAGCAATTTCACAAAAGAGAGAGCAACCTGGAAGTTCTTCAAGGAAACTGTAATTTCAATTTCTGCAAAGTAGTAAAATAATTTACTTAGAAGCAATTATATTGCGTCGATAAGCAAACGCTTAAATGAGCAAAGCTGTTTTTTTCTTAAGAGGTTGTTCAACTGCGTCGGCAAGCAAAATAGCTAGTATCTAGCGAGTTGAAGTCAATAGTTTAAGAGTTTGTGAGGCTACTTTGTCGTTTTGAGCCTTTAGCTTCGTCAAAGCAAAGACGTTGCTTTGTCTTTGCTCTGAGGGAGGGCTGGCGGTTGAAACTAGTGTACCTCTGAGGCGGATACAGGATTTTCGAGAAGGGGCTTCGGGATAAGGACCACCCAAGGTGGTCCCCTATGGGGGTGTCCCGGGGTATCCTCCCCCAGAAAATGCCTCCTCCTCCCCCTCCCCTAGATCCGTCTCAGTAACTGAGTTAATAAACATGTAAATAAAGCAATAAGAAAACTAAGTTTTTATATTACAATCATTTATTTACAATTTTGGGAATTTCTTAACGAAATCCA